GGCCAGAAGAAGCATAAACAGATCCCTGCTGTTTTTCAAAACGAGTGGAAAAACTGTATTTGCTTAAGCTGTTATTTCTGTAGGTGTTTGGAAAGGAAGTGGCCATTATTTTTATTGAAAAACAGTCTGTTTTGACATTCAAAATTAAATTTAATGATTTGGGTTCTGTTAAAGCAAATTGAAACCCAGGAATTGAGTGACAAGATTTGGTATGCATCGGGACTGTTAAGTGTTAAGTTTGAAAAAAGATTGGAAAGAGCTACATTATTTCAAATCGTTTGAGTAATTTAAAATCTTAATGGTTTCAAAACTAAGGATCAGTTTATGTATTTATTCGCGGTTCCTGTCAGCTTTCTTGTCTGTTTGCGGTAGCCGCTGATGTGAAAATTTTGTCTTATTTGGCATTTCTTACGCTTGTTCGTATATTTCAAATCATATTTTAAGGTCAGTTCTAGAATTTTTGAAATTCAAAAGCAACAACTGTAAAAAGTTATACGAAAAATAGTAAATGCACGGAATGACGTAGATGGAATATTATGGTTAATAATTTGAAATGTTAGAGGAAGGCTAATCTTATTTTTCCGTTTGGCAATATATTGGCAGTCATTGCTAGGTTTTTTTGTAGGACTGATATCGGAGGGTGTTTTAGATTTCTACGAAATTCTGGAGGCACTTTACCAGATTCTTTACTTTACTGGCCTGTTTCCTCCCACAAATGTGTATTTTAGCGCAGCGTTATCCTTCATGTTGCTTGAGTCTCTAAAAAATTATTTTAACAGCTCTACAGCGTATACTTTTTCCCGTCTTGGGAGAAACAACAATTGGAAGCTGTATCTTATTCTTTTTTATCTATTTATTTAACTTGTAAAAAGAACCACTATATGGTAGCTTTCAGGATGCCAAATGGAATGCTTGATTTTCATTTTTACTGCTCTGAGTTAAGCAGTATTTATTGGTAATGCTTGATTTTTACTGATAGCATCACAGTCATTATTGTTATTATTACCACTTATTATTATTTCTTATTATTGTTTACCATCATTACTTCTCATTTGCATATTATTACTAATCGTTATTAGTTAGTATTATTCTTTCTTTTTGCTATTTTATTATTATTGTTGGTTATTACTTATAATTATTATTGTTATGATTATTATTATTACTACCACTATTATCTTTAATGTTATTATTACTTTTATTACTATCGAAGTTACCAAAATTACTGATTGTTGTTAGTGATAGTAGTTTTTAGCAGAATATCTCTTATAGGTCTTTAATTGCCAAGTCGGCAAATTCACAATTACAATATCCATTTGGAAAAGATTAGGAAAATTTGTGTAGGTATACTCCCCACATACTCCCTATATTTGCAGCCACTTTCCTATTAGGTTTATGCTTCAAAACTGGCTGCGACATCTCTGTTTTACACTTTTAGAGGTTAAGAGAAAATGAACAGCAATTTGAATTGGTTTTCGACTTTTGAGGCTTGTAATTCAGCTAAGCTTTGAAAAAATCTGAGAATTTTTCGTTTTTTGGTTGGATTTAATGAGTAATCTGTTTCTGAATGCGTTACTGTTCAATTTAAAAAAATAGTTAAATAGATGCAACAAGGATAAAAATTTAGAGGAATGTAAAAAACATATGTTTGGATTTTTAGAAGAAGCATTTTATGTAGCATTTTTTGTAGTACAAACTACCGGAAATTGGTGTTTTCTTTTTGCAGCAGTCTAGAGTTAGCAGCCAGCCGAAAAACAATATTGGAGTGAAAAAAATTCACTTTTATTAATAGCAAAACCGTGTTCAACGCTTTTGAAAGCCACTAAAAGCGGCAGTGAAAATCTTGGGTGTTTAAATCGATAAATATTTGTTAAAAAAGCCATATTTTACTACAAAATATTAACTATTTATTATACCGTAGAGTTTTAAAGAATAGCCTTTATCCCAGCGTTTTCTGCTTCCCATCTTCTTCTTGCCGAAACTGTGTAGCTAGTGTATGTTTTGACGTCGTAAGCAACTCTAAAAAATTGTCGCTTTAGCCAGTCAGGCGCAAAGCGCCGGTTTTCTCTAAAGTTTTTGGCCTTGCCAGTTTAGAGGATTACAACGCAAAATGTTACAGGAAAAAAATTTAGTCACGTTTATACAGCCAGAACTCTGGTGAGTAGGGTATGAGTACAATTCTAAGAACTAACAAGTCTGTTTTTTTCTCTCTAATTTCTCAAATGCCGGAATTAAAATTCTTGTATGTCAAAGATATTTTACATGCGAAACCGGCTGCCCTATAAAGTTTGTGACTCACTGAACATTAGTGGTGTCTTTGAGTTTCGTTAGCGAATGAATCT